TTGGTTAAGGAGAGTATTCCTGGGAGACTGTCCATTGAAGTTATATGGGTGGAACTTGAAAATAAGAAAGAGATGATCACCTTGCTGGGATTGTTTTTTAGGTCCCCCCAACAGTGACGGGGAAATTGAAAAGCAAATATGCAAGGAGATCTCAGATCTGTTTTTAAAAAAAGGTTGGAATGGTAGGGGATTTTAATTTTTTAAACGTTGACTGGGACTGTCATAGTGTTAAATGCTTGGAAGGGGAGGAATTTGTTAAGTGTGTACAAGAAAACTTTCTTATTCAATATGTACATGGCCTCACGAGAGAAGGAGCAATGCTTGACTTTCTGTTGGGAAATAGGGCAGGGCAAGTGAATTGAATTAGCTTTATTATCACATGTGCTCACATGAGTACCGTGAAAAGTTTACAAGTTGCCATTGAGGATGTCATCTTCAGTACCAAGATACCTAGGTACAGATTCTTAAGTACAGAGCTGAAAGTTGGGCTTAGTCTCAATAGCTTTTATCAGCTGACAGACACAATGGGCCGAACTGCATCATTGTGCACCACAGAGACTTCTGGTTTACAACTGAAGAATTAATCTAAAATTATTAACTTCACATAACTTTAAATATGGCAATGAAGTTGTTAGATTTGTATAACTAAATTACTTTGTTAAGATAATGAAAAATAAAGTAATTACAAAGCTGGTCACGGTCACTAGATTTTTGCAGCATTTTTAAGATTGATTCCTGTGATCCTACTACGTGCAGCAAATTTTACTAAATTATTGGTTTTTGTCACTTACCCTTATAAAATTTTCCCTCAAAGTGCAGTGGTTCAAGAAGGCAGCTCACTACTATCTTGGGCAATTAAGGATGGGTAGTAAGTGTTGGCTAACCAACAAGGCCTGAAATGCCATGAATGAATGAAAAAAAAGGCTAATTTTCTGAAAAGAACAAATCTTCAGGGTTACAGAGTGGGAGTGGCACAAGCTGAGATGATGACATGACATGACAGGCAAAAAGGTCTCCTTCTGTAACCACTGTATGATTCTATAATATACATTAAGAAGCTATAATCAGGAAGGGAAATGAAACTATTTCCTCCCATAATCTCAATATAACAAAGGCCTGATTTGTTGCAAAAAGATATTGAAATCTTTTGATAAAAACTCTCCAATTCCACAGTTTTCAGCTTTCTTTCTCATTGATTCATTTGGAAATAGGTTAGAATAACTTAATTACAGCTGTTTTGGTGTAGGCCCCAGTAACTAGGGAACGTTTGGAGCTCATTTCAGCAAGCAGCTTCTGTTCAGAGGCAATCCAGCTTCCTTCAATCCTTTCACTACTCCAGGGCCAGGAATCACACGAGCATTCACAAAGTCAGACCAAGAAACAATTCTGAATACCCCACCTCCATACTGGTGTCTAGCAGTGTTCCCAATACCTGCAAACTTTCCATCTTTGAATATCAAAAATTCATGCTTGTCAGCAATTGCTCTTAGCTCTTTGAACACATCTAGATTAAAATCATTCAAGATGTCAACATGTGGTTTCAATACACAGATCTCAAACCAGTGGACCAGCCAACTGCAGCAACCCTTTTCAGTTTGTGACGTCAGCAGCTAGCTACAAGTTAGTTTGCTTCTATTCCATTTTCTTAAAAAGCTTTGCTGTGATTGGGTGGACACCAGGAAGCTGAGCACGAGTACCATAACTAAATTTTTGTTATGGGTATTTTTTGCAAGTGTTCCAGCAGACTGGGCATTAAGCTGTTTTGTTGAATTGTTCAACCTTTTACTCACTGCTGCCAATGTGTTTTTTCTTATGACTGTCATGACAGTTTCTACTGTTTCACTTTCAGTTTTTCCTTGGCGGTGTAAAATTTCTAACAATTTAGATAGAGAACAGAGTGTAAACATATCTCTTCCTCTTCTAATATGGATCTTCCTCCCTGCTCCTGTTCCAATATCACTGCATCAGTGACCTTTAATCCTTCCTCACAAAGAATGTCTGCAGTCTCCAAGACACTGGAACCACTTGTCACAAGATCCTCGATAAGATAGATTTCTCCTTAGTTGATTGTGCCTTCCACCAAACGATTTTCATACAATAGAATCCCTACAGTATGGATACAGGCCTTTCGGCCCAACAAGTCCACACCGACCCTCAGAGCATCCCACCCAGACCCAACCCCTATAACTCACCTAATCTACACATCCCTGAACACTACGGGCAATTTAACATGGCCAATCACCTAGCCTGCATATCTTTGGACTGTGGAAGGAAACTGGAGCACCCGGAGGAAACCCACGCAGACACGGAGAATGCGCAAACTCCACACAGACAGTCGCCCGAGGGTGGAATCGAACCCAGGTCCTTGGCGCTGTGAGGCAACAGTGCTCACCACTGAGCCACCGTGCCACCCAATTTGTGCCATTGTTCTTTGCCTCTTTTTAACGAATAGGCATGGGGATTTTACTGATTAAACAGATAATAGTTGCAAGAAGTCAGGCAGTGTATGAAACTCCATAAATAGAATTGCTTTTGATTCCAGCATTCTGTGCAGATTTCCAAAGGAGATCAGAAACCTGCTTCAGTGAGACAGATGGAACACAATGACTCTCATAACAAAGTAAACAGGCGATGAATTTGCCACTTTTTAAGCATGAGGCTACCAAACTTCACTGCCCGAACTCCAAACAGCTACAACACTATGACTCGATGCTCTCCGCCCCCAGATCGGCCAGTGTGCCTGCACACCTAAATAACTGAGGTGCCAGTGAGGGAGAACTTTGGGGCAAGTGATCATAATTCTAGTAGTTTTAAAATAGTAATGGAAAAGGATAGAACTGATCAAAAAGTTAAAATTCTAAATTGGAGTAAGGCCATTTTTGATGGTACTGGACAGGAACTTCCAAAAGCTGCTTGGTAGAGCCTATTCACAGGTAAAGAGATGGTTGAGAAGTGAGAGGCCTTTGAGAATTCAGAGACAGTATGTTCCTGTTAGTATGAGGTGCTAGGCTGGTAGGTGTCGGGAATGCTGGATGACTGGAGAAATTGAGGCTTTGATCAAGAAACAAAGGGGAATGTATCAGGTACAGACAGCTGGTATCGAGTGAATCCCTAGCAGAGTAAAATAGCAGGAGGAGTACACTTAAGACGGCAAAAAGGGATATGAGATCGCTTTGGCATATAGAGTTAAGGAGAATCCAAAGAGATTCTATAAATACATTAAGGGAAAAAGGGTAACTAGGGAGAGAATAGAGCCCCTTATAGATCAACAAGGCCGTTTAAATATGGAAACGCAGGAGATGGGTGAGATACTAAATTAATATCGTGCCGGTATTTACTCTGGAGAAGAACTTGGAAGCCGGGGAATTTGAGGAAATAAATATTGATGTCTTAAAAAGAATTCATATTACAGAAGAGGTGGTGCTGGATGTCTCAAAAGACAAAGGTGGATAAATTCCTGGGACCCGATCAAGTGTTTCCCAGAACTTTGTGGGAAGCTAGGGAAGAGATTGTTGGGGCCCCTTGCTGAGGTCTTTGTATCATCAATCACCATGGGGGAGGTGCCAGAAGACTGGAGGTTGGCTCATGTGTTGCCATTATTTACGAAAGGTGGTAAGGAAAAGCCAAGGAACAAGAGACTGGTGAACCTTGCGTCAGTGGTGGGTAATTTGTTGGAGGGGATTCTGAGGGACAGAATTTGCTTGCAGTTGGAAAGGCAAGGACTGATTAGGGGTAGTCAACATGGCTTTGTGCGTGGGAAACTGTGTCTCACTAACTTGAGTGAGGTTTTTGAAGAGGTGACAAAGAAAACAGGTGACAGAGCGGGAGACATTGTCTGTATGTACTTCAGCAAGGTCTCCGTCATGGTTTCTCATGGTAGACTGGTTAGTAAGGATCACATCAGATCCGGGGGAGCTAGCCAATTGAATACTAAATTGATTTGAAGGGAGGAAACACAGGCTGGTAGTGGAAGGTTGTTTTTTGGAATAAGACCTGAGACCAGTGGTGTGCCACAAGGATTGGTGCTGGGTCTAACTAACTGCTTTTTGTCATTTATATAAATGATTTGGACGTGAATATAGGAGGAATGGTTGGTAAGTTTGCAGATGATACCAAAATGGTTAACAGTGTAGTGGACAGTGAAGAAGATTATCTCAGAGTACAATGGGACCTAGAACAGATAGGCCAATGGGCTGAGGAGTGGCAGATGAAGTTTAATTTAGATAAATTTAAGGTGTTGCATTTTGGAAAGGCAGATCAGGGCAGGACTTATACACTTAATGGTAAGATCCTGGGGAGAGTTGCTGAACAAAGAGACCTTAGAGTGCAGGTTCAGCGTTCCTTGAAAGTGGAGTTGCAGGCAGATAGGGTGGTGAAGGCGGTCTTTGACACACATGCCTTTATTGGTCAGAACATGGAGTATAGAAGTTGGGGTGTCCTGTTGCAGCTGTACAAGACACTGGTGAGGCCACTTTTGGAATACTGCATTCAATCTGGTCTTCCTCAGAACGGAAGGTTCACTAGACCCAGAACGTTAACTTTGATTTTTTTCTTCAGATGCTGCCAGACCTGCTGAGCTTTTCCAACAACCTCTTTTGTTTACAGCATCCACAGTTCTTTCAGTTTGAATAGGAGGTACATGAAGTTAACGCTGAAACCTTACCTCCCTGATTAATTAATTGCCTGCAATCAATAATCATTACAGGAGGCAATACCAGTTATGACATTTCGTGTTCTCCTTGGAATATCAAAAATAAAAGATTTCTAACAGTTGACTGGAAACATCAGGAATTTGAAATAACACATGTCAATTAGTATCAGAGAGAGAAGGAATTTGGAGTCATCCCAAAGGGACACCCACTCAATAATATTGGTTGTACTGGATGTCCATTTTAAAGTATAGAAGATGAATTGGATCAGTATGTCTTACTCGCCAAACTTTACTGGTTTTGCCTTCTGGGATGTTACAAATTCTCCAATATAGAATCTCTGTTACTCACAGTTGCCAGGTAATTGCCCTCCCAGCTTCTCTGCAGGCCCAGGTCACCCCGCTGACCCTTCAGGTTCTCCACAGCTGCAACCTTTGCTCTGACCTGCAGCAAGTCAGCAGGTGGGATACTCTTAATCAGCTGATATGCTCTCCACCTATTGACAGATTTGGAATGAAATCATTTTAGTTTGAATGTGAAGAAAGGCATTCATTTGTATAGCACTCTTCAGGGCCTCACTACATGAGGGCCTATAAAACCGCCTATAAAACAATAAGTGTAATCATATTAGGAAACATGATAATCAACTTCCATACAACATGTTTCCCCCAACTAGGAATGGGATAAATAATCAAACAAATGTTTTAAAAGTGCTATTCTTTGGAGGATAAATACTGGCCGGAATACCGGAGAAAACTCCCCTGCTCTTGACAACAATGTTGTACGGTCTTTTCCAAGCACCCCAGAAGGCAGATAGTGCCTGGGCTGAATATCACAAGGACAATGCGTCCTGTGCTGAGATTTTTGTTCAAGACTCCAGATTGAGATTTACATCCACCACCTTCTGACACTGAGCTGAGAGTTCGTGAGTTCAGGCTAAGTTGACAGCAGTTCTCATCACATCATACTGCGATGTGCATTAATGGGCCTATATTGTAGAGGTCAAACTGAACTCTTAGTTCACAGTTACAGGCTCTACCAAATGAATTTTGAACGAAACATTGTTTTTGAACAGGCTAACTGAAAATATCAGCAGTATAAACTGGAGAACAAAATAAACCCATTATTTTCCCCACATTACTTCTTACACGCTGTCATTCCTATTTATACTTTCATCAGCTGCAAATAGCAAATCAAAACTCAAGTTGCAATCCATGACCCATTTTGAACTTGGAAACAGATGTCAAACCTACTTTCAATGGTTTTTCCTTGAAGAAAGATAAATTATAAGACTGCAAATTTGCTGAATGACAAGATAAGTAGTTGAGCTATGTACCTCCATGTTTTCTAAACTAACTGTGGTAAATCAAGGTGGCAGTAAATTAACACTCCCAGTATGCCCAAATGGGGGAGGGTGTAAACTTGGTTAGAATTGCTCTACCCAGGCAGTTTCTACAGGTTTATGCTTCAATATGTCCGAATATTAGCGTAGGGGTCAAGACAGCGTCAGCTTCTTCTGTACTGCTTCAAATGCTGAAAACCTTTCAATACATACTCCAATACAGCAAGTGGATACCAAACAATGTCCACTGTTTTTCCATTTCTGTGCCTTGTGAGGAAGAGTAATTATTTAACTTATTGCACCCAAGGAGAAAGAAAACAAATAAAATTAGTGAATGTAATGAGTAAATACAAAGCATAAATTTCATCAGAAGAAATCTGATAATCAGTAAAATGTAACACAACCATCTTGGTGGTCTTAATTCTGGATACTAAGTCCAATGTCTCATCGCAGTTGTATTGGTAAAATTTCCTAGAGCTCGTGGTTCATCCTGACTTGCACAAGCTTTTCCCAGCATGGGTTTGTAAAGGATAGACCATGTCTGGCAAATCTAATTATGTTTTGTGAAGAGGTGATTGAAGTAATGGATAGGCAAACGTCTGTGGATGGAATTGACTGAATAAAGGGAATCAGAACAAGGATAATAGGTAACTACACTAATCAGCAACTACTCTAATTGGTAGGATATGGGTATTCTTATCTCGGAAGAATCTGTATTGGGGCCTCAACTGTTCACAACATTTGTTTATGGCTTAGATGATGGAATAGAAAGCCACATATCCAAAATTGCAGATGACAAAAATACTTGGTTCCGAAGCCAGATGGAGCCCATACTTAACACAAAAAAGAAATAGTTGCAGCTGTTGGAGGTCAATCATCTCAGTTTCAGGATATCACTGCAGGAGTTCCTCAATGTAATACTCTACCATGATCCATCTTCAGCTGCTTCATCAGTGAACTTCCTTCCATCAAGTGCACTTGTTCTGCACAGTTCATGACTATTCAGATTGGAAGTATTCAATATACATGCAGTAAAATCAGTGCCAATTAGATATAAGTAACATCTGTGCCATGTAAGTGATGGGCAATGACAACCTCTAACAAGACAGAATCTAATAATTGCCCCTCAACATTCAATGACATTACCACGGCTAAATCCTCCACTATCATCTTGGGCTTTACCAATGAACAGAAACTACCTGCACCTGTCACATAAATACTGTGGTTACAAGAGCAGATCAGAGGCTGCAAATAACTCATCTCCTGATTCTCCAAATCCTGACCACTGTCTGCAAGACAGAAATCAAGATTATGATGGCACAGTCTTCACTTGCCAGGGTAAATACAGCTCCAACAACACTAGAAACTCAACACTATCCGGGGCAAAGCAGTCCACTTGATTAACATCCCTTTTACCATTCACCTGCTCACCATAATGCAAAGTGGGAGCACTGCTCACCATTTATAAGAACTACCAAAGTCCCTTAACCAGTACCTTCCAAACCTGTGATTTCCATTACATAGAAGGTCAAAGGCAGAAGACGCACAATACAAAATCAAAGGCAAGTTTCCCTTCAAGCCACACAGCATTCTGACTAAGAAATATATCACATTCCTTCACTGCTGCTGTGTCAAAACTTACTTTCTGACAGCACTATGGACGTGCCAACACCCTGCAACATGGACTGCAGTGGTTCAAGAAGGCAGCTCATCACCACCTTCTCAGGATCAACTAGAAATGGGCAACAAATGCTGGTCATGATTTCCATATCCCTTAAGTGAATATTTAAAAAATCTATTAGTCATCAATATTATTTGATGAGCTGAATGGGAAAACTGTGGCAAATGTACTTGAATGTAGGTAAGTTTGAGATCATCTACTTTGAATATAAAAATAACTGAACAAGATACTTTCTAAATGGTAAAAAAGCTTGAAAATTTGGAGGTCCAAAACAATTTATAGGTCCAGGTATACAAATCATGCAAATGGCAACACAGGTATCATACTGCCTAGTTTTGAAAATACATTGTAATATCATAAATTTGCTTATATTACTAGTAGTATTCACTATTGGGTACCCAAATGTAAATTTCTCCTAATTGATATTTATCCAACTTCTTCATCACAAAGGCTCATCCAACAGCAAAGTATATGTAATTGCATAAAGAGCACAGCTGAGGTTGAAGGTCAATCACTTTCTGAATCTGTTATAGTTTACTGTTCAGAATCTTATGCTCAGGATTGTACACTGGTATTTGGAAATCTACTGTGCATTTGTTCCAATTAGAAATATGCATGTTGAAATGAATCAGGTTTTCATGGTATCAGTAAAGAATGAGCAACTTGAACTAATCATCAGTGAAGCTGATGAGCCTGACATCTAAATAGAATAATCTGAGCTTTCGGAAGAACCAAAGCTACCCATTTTGTTGCATAAAAATCTAGAGTCAAAATAGGCAAGTCTGACACACAATTCACCAAAGCTGTGGCAGCAATTTAAAAGAATAATTATAACAAAATTTTTTTGAGTGGTCAGAAACATAGAAATCAAAAAATTGTTTTATTTCAACAAATCAAATTTGAGTCAATCGTAATTACCCAATAAGGCACCCTGCTGTATTTAGGCACTGCTTTTAATGGAAGCCACAAGTGATGAACATATGGCTTTTGACATTGAGAAATGTCATACAACTAAGAACAAACAGAGCTTGAGTACATAATTGTGATGCTTAGCAGAAACAATGCTCTTGTTCCAGTAGGTTACCAATCTAAAAGGGTTCTCAGACTTAACACTCATTAAAAAGACTTCGGTGTTGACAAGTTAAGCTTGAGAGAACAAACCCCTACTGCAGCGTAGGTTATTGTTTTCTATTATTTCAAGTTTACAATTATGTTTTTCTTAAACCAGTTTCCAGAAGGTACTGCATTTTACAGCATCTTCCTTCAGCCTCTTTATGGAAAGCAGGATATACAGTCATATATTAGGAAACAAGTTGTTGAATGTCATTGAATTTCAGTAATAGATATCTGGGAGTATGATTTTCTTGCAATTTTGCTCTTTGACACATTCGAAATTTAGTAATATACTGTACTTGCCATGTTACTTAGTTTGAAAGAAGTTTGATGAAATAGACAAGCCTGCAAGCAGTGAACTGGTAAATATGACATGGAACGTGGTTGGCATTCCAGATATTCTGTCCACAAACAATCGATTCAAGAGTTACTTGTTCAACCAGAGCACACAACATGCACACAGTGAAAATGAAAGGAAGTTACAGTTCATGTGCGTTTGATCTACTCTATAAAAAGTGAACTTACCTCGTAACATGAACAAACATGCTGAGGAAACTCCACAACTGTAACATAAGCATAAAATATACTGCCCTGAAGCTCGCAGTCTGGGTTGGAATCCTTACTTCTGACCCAGATCAGATAAAACATTGCCTACTTTCTTGAGATCGATCACCGCAAAAGCAGTCCAGCAGACCATATGAGTGGGTTACCACAGATTAAATGCCCACTTTCTGACAGCAAGAATTGTTGTATTCCACTAAGTAAAAACAAATTAAACATTCCAAAGCCTTTTTGGCAACTGAGACCACATAAGCATGGAAAGGTAAGTGGAAGAGGGAAAATGGTGCCAGGTGGTGAAGAGAGGTGGTGTTAGGGTGCCAAGTGATGAGGGAGTAGGTTGCAAGTAGGTGGAGGGTGTTGGGTGGCAAGTGGCTGATAGGGTACTGGTGGCATGTGAGTGCAGGACAGGACGGCAGGTAGCTAATGGAGTAGGGCATCAAGTATGTGTGACAGTACAGATGGCAGATATGCGGGTGCCAGGTCAGTGACAGGGACAGCAGTGAAAATCAGGTGTTTGCAGGAGGAATGGGTGGGTGGAGTCAATGGACTGTCTTGGGAGGTTGGGGGTCACATTAGGGGGTGGTAGTTTGTTCGAGTCATTTTTATGTGGAGGGGGCTGGGTTGGGGGTTGAGTGGGACTCTGGTGTCTGTGGTGAATCACTGGGTCAGGTGTTGGGGGTCACAGAGCAATTGCCAGTCAGATTTAGATTTAGCCAAGAGCTAGAGCAGGTCTGAACCTCGCAAACATTTCCTGGCTGAGCATTAAAATGAGAACCTGACTCTAACTCAAAGTTGGTATATTTTTGAAGAGTTCCAGATGCCACTTAATTGTCTGTTGGAAGGTAAAGTTACCCAATTACCACAAAGTCAAAGTCAATGTGTCTGGAGGTCAGAGAGCCCTATAAAACTTTCAGAGCAAGTTCGGTCTCTGACCGTCCAGAACCTGGAAGATCTGGGCCAATATGAAAATTATGTTACAAATTTTAAATTACAGTAAACAATTACAACATTTTGCTGATAATGATACTAAGTCAGTTACCTTTGATAAACAGATTGCAAAGTGTCCTCAAATTTTCGCAGGACCTTGGGTGGAGTCGGCCATTTCACGTGTTTCCCATAATCCTTCATGCTTCCAACGTTCTGGAAACGTCTGCCCACCTCCCAGATATAGGACTTCACTTTGTACTTTCTGTAGTGTTTTATAATAATGTAAGCAGCTCTTGTGCGTTTGTAATGAATTCGAGCTATGGTACCCCTCCAGACCTATAAAAGAAACCAGTTGTTTAATTACAGGGAAGGGACTTGGAATACAGTACAGCAAAATACCCAAATAACAGTTAAAACTGTGCAAGTAATCATAATCCTGAAGCAGTTTAAGCCAAATACCTACAAAACTATTTCATTCTGAATTTGATAGAAGTGTCTTGTTAAGTGCTGCTTAATAGCGGATTTTGATTACCTATAACTTGTGCATTATCTGCAATCCTTACCTGGGCTCTCCAGTACACATAGATTATACTTATCAAAGTCAGAAACTGCTGGATTCAGGTAGGTTCAAGTTTCTCTACGTAACTCACTCCATTGGGTTCTATTGCACCATTCCATCACTGACAATATTAAAGTAGCCAGATTTCATAGTATCCCTACAGTGTGGATGCAAACCATGCAGCCCAAGTCCACAATGACCCTCCAAAGAGCATCCCACCCAGATGCATCCCCTCACCTGTTCCTGTAACCCTGTAACCACGGCTAACCTACCCAACCTGCACATCCCTGAACACTATGGGCAATTTAGCATGGCCAATCCACCTAAATTGTGCATCTTTGGTCAGTGGGAGGAAAACGGAGCACCCAGAGGAAACCCAGACAGGCATGGGGAGAATGTCTGTGTGGAGTTTGCACAGTTGCACAAGGTTAGAATCAAACCTGGGTCCCTGGTGCTGAGAAGCAGCAGCGCTAACCTCTGGTCCAATGCAATCTCTTCAAGATCCTCTAGAAGAGACTCTACATTAACAAACCTGAGGTTTAGTTAAACCCCTGGACTCTTAACATCAAAAAAGAAAGTCCACTTTATTTCCATTGTTAAGATTAGTATCTCAGATTAAAAGGAATTAATGGCTTGACGCCACATCCTAAAAACGCCCAGTCTTCCTCTTTTGCTGATCTACCCGGTCAAAGTGTAAACCCATCAAATTCTATCAAATCCTACTCGCAATTGCCACTTTGAACTCTGGCAAACAGACAATTCCCAACCCTTGCCCTTCTGCATTTCCCTCCAGTATATCCAATCACTTGCAGACAAAATTCTTGTGACTCATGACCTTGTAACGGATGTATGCTCTGACAACAGAGCTCAGGTAGAAGCTTAGATGACAGATTATGAGATCATGGTCCTTACTGGAATTTCGTAGCCTGCTTAAATTGTTCTTTTTTCCTTTCAGGGCTGTGAGCATTGTTGACAAAGTCAACATGTGCCGCTCAGCCCTAATCCCTCAAAGTGTTGAAAAGCTAAAAGGCAGGATGAGCAGAGTAGTAATCTCAGGATTACTACCAGTACCATGGGCTAGTGAGGCTAGGAAGAGAGAAAGAATGCAGCTGAACACGTGGCCACAGAGCTGGTGTAGGAGGGAGGCTTCAGATATGTGGATTATTGGGATACCTTCTGGGGAAGGTGGGACCTGTACAAGAAGGACAGGATGCACCTGAACTGGAGGGGCACCAATATTCTGGGCGGGAGGTTTGCTAGAGCTCTTCGGGAGGGATTAAACTAGTTTGGCAGGGGGATGGGAACCGGAGCTACGAATCAGAGGATGGGGTACACCAGCTGGGGGAGCTGGTGTACAGGCAGATACAACACGCAGAGAGTCTGTGAGGAAGGATAGACAGTTGATAGGGCAAAGTTGCAGTCAATGCGACGGGTTGAAGTGTGTCTATTTTAATGCAAGAAGTGTCGGGAATAAGGGTGATGAACTTAGAGCATGGCTCAGTACTTGGAGCTACGATGTTGTGGCCATTACGGAGACTTGGATAGCACAGGGGCAGGAGTGGTTGTTGGATGTTTCAAAAGAAATAGGGAGGGAGGTAAAAGAGGTGGGGGCATGGCATTACTAATCAGGGATGGTATCACAGCTGCAGAAAGGGACGTCGTCGAGGAGGGTTTGATTATTGAGTCAGTATGGGTGGAAGTCAGAAACAGGAAAGGAGCAGTCACTTTATTGGAAGTTTTTTACAGGCCCCCCAATAGCAACAGAGACACTGAGGAACAGACTGGGAGGCAGATTTTGGAAAGGTGCAGAAGTAATAGGATTGTTGTCATGAGTGACTTCATATTGACTGGAAGCTCCTAAATGCAAATAGTTTGGATGCAACAGATTTTGTCAAGTGTGTTCAGGAAGGATTTCGGACTCAATATGTAGATAGGCTGACTAGAGGGGAGACCTATTCGATTTGGTGCTTGGCAATGAACCAGGCCAGGTGTCAGATCTCTTGGTGGGAGAGCATTTCAGTGATAGTGATCACAACTCCCTGGCCTTTACTACAGCCATGCAGAGGGATAGGAGCAGACAGTAGGGGAAAGTATTTAATTGGGGGAGGGGGAATTACAATGCTATTAGTCAGGAACTCTGGAGCATAAATTAGGGGCAGATGTTCTCAGGGAAATGCAGGACCGAAATGTGGAGGCTGTTTAGGGAGCACTGAGGCAAGGAAGGGATGGTAAGGTGAAGGTACCATGGATGACAAGACACGTGGAACATCTAGTCAAGAGGAAGAAGGAAGCTTACTTAAGGTTAAGGAAGCAAGGATCGGACTGGGCTCTAGAGGGTTAAAGGTGGCCAGGAAGGAAGTGAACAATGGACTTAGGAGAGCTAGAAGGGGGCATGAAAAAGCCTTGGTGGGTAGGATTAAGGAAAACCCCAAGGCGTTCTATACGTACGTGAGGAACAAGAGGATGGCCAGAGTGAGGGTAGAGCCGATCAGGGATAGTGGAGGGAACTTGTGCCTGGAGTCTGAGGAGATGGGGGGGGTCCTTAATGAATACTTTGCTTCAGTATTCACCAGTGAGAGGGATATTTTAGTTTGAGAGGACAGGGTGAAACAGGCTGATATGTTTGAACAGGTTGATGTTAGGAAGGAGGATGTGCTAGAAATTTTGAAAAAAACATGAGGATGGATAAGTCCATGAGGATGGATAAGTCCCCTGGGCCAGACGGGATATACCCAAGGTTGTATAGGGAAGTGATGGAATAGATTGCTGCACCTTTGATGCTGACTTTGCATCCTCAATGTCCACTGGAGTAGTACCAGATGATTGGAGGGTGGCAAATGTTATTCCCTTGTTTAAGAAAGGGGAATAGGGATAATCCTGGGAATGAAAGAACAGTCTTACTTCTGTGGTGGGCAAATTACTGAAGAGGATTCTGCGAGATAGTATTTATGATTATTTGGAAAAGCATAGTTTGATTAGAAATAGTCAGCATGGCTTTGAGGGGGGCAGGTCATGCCTCACAAGCCTTATTGAATTCTTTGAGAATGTGACAAAGCATATTGATGAAGTTTGAGCAGTGGATGTTGTGCATATGGATTTTAGCAAGGCATTTGATAAGGTTCTCCATGGTAGGCTCATTCACAAAGTAAGGAGGCATGGGATTCAGGGAAATTTGGCTGTCCAATAGAAGACAGAAGGTAGTAGTAGATGGAAAGTATTCAGCCTGGAGCTCGGTGCCAGTGGTGTTCCACAGGGATCTGTTCTGGGACGTCTGCTCTTTGTGATCTTTATAAATGACTTGGATGAGGAAGTAGAAAGGGGAGTTCATAAGTTTGCCAATGACACGAAGGTTGGAGGAGTTGTGGATAGTGTGGAGGCCGTTGTAGGTTGCAACGGGACATTGGCAGGATGCAGAGCTGGGCAAAGAAGTGGCAGATGGAATTCAACCTGGAAAAGTGTGAAGTGATTCATTCTGGAAGGTTGAATTTGAATGCAGAATACAGGGTTAATGGCAGGGTTCTTGGCAGTGTGGAGGAACAGAAGGATCCAACCCCATGAAAACAGCTGGTGAATTTTGTTTCCACAAAAATTGCAACATGTTACATTTGCCACTTACCATCTTTCCCTTGCCCAGCGAACCCTGAAGACATACGTTTCTCCAATTTTCCTCCCTTCTCATTCATGACACCCCTTCCTATTCCCTTGTACCTATTCACCCCAAATCAAAACTCCCCTCCTGCAAGTCGCACCGACTCTTCAGGTACTGCCAGCCTCCCTTTATAGCCTAGCATTATAAAATCTCTCTTTAAAAATCCACCTTGAATCACTCTGTCTTTCCAAGTTACTTATTTATCTCCAATCTCCCTTTCTTCCCCAACATTCTTAAAATCAGGTTCCAATCCTTTGCACATGTTTTGCAAAATGTTGTATAAATCCTCCAACTCAGGCTTCCATCCCTGCCAAAATAGCCTTAACTAAAGTTGCAGAGCCTGAATGGGCTTCATTACCACCATCATCATCCTAGTTTTTTCTTCAGTATAGCATCTTCAGCAATGGCTTCAATTTGTTATTTCCATAGTTTCCCCCATCTTAAACCATGGCACCCCTCTTCTTCATTCATACTGTGTCTCCTCAGAGAAAATTATATCATTCATGGGCATGGAATTAGCTTCCAGATAACAGTAGTTTGAACCAATGCTACACCATTTCTGGACTTCCTCATTACTGAAGCGATCAGATTGCTTTGTTTGTGTCGACTCTTGGTTATGATTTCTTCAAGATGCACATGCAGACTGAAGCTATCGTCTTCAAACCCCACCTTAGACCTTTACCCTATTATTTTTGTATAAGTGTATTGGATCTAGTATCAATGTTAATGTCTTTCAAAACTTGGCATGTATATACAGGATACATGGACTTCACTTAATGCTACAAACATGAGGTTTATAAGATTGTAGAGTTTCTGAAATTTGTTTTTAATCCAGTGTAAAATGAAGGTGAGCATGTGGCCCAATTTGATGTCTGCGTACCATCACTACTAGGTGATGTAGCTGTTAAAAATTAAACAGAGACCCGAGTTGCTTCACTAGAAGGAAGATGCAAGGTGTTTATACTTGGAGACAATGGCAGCAGCATCTGTAGTTAGTGGTGAGACTGACTCCAAGGATGGCGTTTAGAACATTGGATTGTAAATTTTTATACTTCTAATCATCCAGTTACATCCGAGAGAAGATCAATTTGGAGTCTACTGGATACAAGGCGTAAGAAGATCATGTTG